GCCTACGTCAAGGTTAGGTTAGGTTAGATCCAAAGTGAGTGGATCTATTCGATCCTCCACCGCATCTCGCAAGGGTTTATTGTGGCTCACACCTATTCACACTCGACCAAATAAACCCAGCTTCTTAACGAAGCCGATTAGTTTGTATGGTGAGTGGTCTTTCAGGTCAGATGGTAAGGGTACGTCTCTGCCGAACTCTAAAAACCTCATTCGGTCCCCAGCAGGACAGGCACAAAGTATATGCTCTGCTGTTTCATCGTTAGTGAGGTAGTCGAATAGTCAAGGTGCAAGATTCCCACCTTGATAACCGCGACAACCTCCCCATATGCAGGGCTTTTTCGCTTCTGGTTTTGGTGAATCATCACTTGAGCGCAAACGTTTGCTAACTAGCTCATGAGGGGGTTTGTTTCTCCACCTGAGACAGATAAAGCGTACGCCGCTCAAGAATTTTGTGCAAGGCGGTTTCCTGAGGTACCCTGCTCTCGAGGAGACGACTCAGTAGTTTCATGGCTGCACCACCAAACCTTTTTTCAGGTTCAGTTATTGGATTAGGAGTTGAGAAGCTCTCGCTCCTGATCTAAATTTACAGGGAGGTCAGTTGGAGTCGTATGCTCGACATTCATCTCCACTGTAGACTCGCTCCTGATCTAAATTTACAGGGAGGTCAATTGGAGTCGTAAGCTCAACATCTATCTCATCTGTAGACTCAGCGTCAGAAATAATCGTTGAGTTTACTCTGTCCATAAAAGTCCCACGAGTAGCTAGGGATAGAAGGTCAATCACGGCAGAGCCCCGCCTTACCATGACAAAGCGATGCTACGACGAGAGGGCGTCTGGTATCTCATAGGTTCCGTAGAGACAACTGATAGGCTCAGTGTCATTCATCCTCTCGGCACGGATACACATACTTTAGGGTTGAGCCATCATTGGAATGCCATTCAGTTAGGAAATAACAGAACCACAAGTGATTCTGTCATTCCCGTATCCAGCGGGGCTACGTGGAAGCAGCCATCCGATGGCCGGTTTACTCAACCCCCACATTCCAAGCCAATGCACTCGCCAAAAACAGTATATACAGTGATTCAGGCAGTGAATGATGACACGGTTTAAAGTTTTTGTGACTTAACGCCAGGGTTTCAGTTTGTCTACTAGCCAGGTTTCGTCATTGTTCTCTGCATGATATTCAAACTGCGATGTGATGAGAATTCACCTACGGGTTTACATGAATTCAAAATTCCAGGAAGATTTTTCACTCCATTATATGAAACATTAACTGAATATGCAAAAATAGACCTTTACAAATTTTGTTGGAAGTGTATTCAATGTAACGCTTTATTGAATTCAATGAATCATTTTTGTATGATAAACATTAGATAAAAATGATGATATCACTTATGAATGATAATCTAATGAAACATTTCTGTCATTTTTAATATCAAGGATTGTTTGGGTTCCTCTATATATATTTTCATTACACAAAATGATATTCAAATATATGTATGTACTTTCATGTTTGGAAATATTGATGAACTATTTAAAAAACTAAGACGAAAAAAGTTTGCTGAAATATACCTAAAATCATAACTTCTTCATAATATCATTAACACTGTTATTTTCTGCAGAAACTCGTTGTGCGAAAACACAAAACTTTATTTTCTCGCCATTGAAACTCGTATAATGATCAACACAAAACTTTGAAATTCAAATTCGAATGTTGTTTTCGAAAGTATCCACTAAAGATAACAAAGCAGCGTACCTAGCGAAACTTTTATGTCCAAGTCCACATGTTACCAAATATTTATACTTCGTTGTTCCACAATCGAAACATCAACATGGTGAACATTAACAAATGCACAACCCTCTAAATTCAGTAGAGAATGAACCCTTCTGATACATTCTGATGTATGGAAATCTGCAACCACATTCGCTGTATCGATCTTCAAAAATATGATGTGGATACGAGTAGAAAGGTTTAACTACCATAAAAGACGCAGTATTATATGTAAATGGGAATCTGCTGCCTTTGTGAAAGCTGTAAAACACAGGCCTTCCATATTTTATGTCTGGCAAGCATACTCTTTTTTTGCTACATTGCCCACATTCAATACTACTCGAGATATTGCGGTATAAATATTCGAAATGTGATCTTCAGAACATCGTAAAAAATTCGCCAGTAAATAGTAAAAACCTTTCTCATGAAAGCAGTTTTTTGAAATTTTTATGCATACATTGGAAATATAATCGAGTCAAGATTGGTAAGGTTTTATTGTTGTTATATGAGAAGAAAATGTACTTATCAAATTTGTTTCAATATCGAAAGTTATGTCAATTCCTTCGTTTATATATTTCCTATTCACTTTTTTTTGCAACAAATTCATACATAGTCTCCATCGATATCGTCATATACGGTGCACAAAAAGAAAACACATAGATAATCATATTATTATATTTATGAGATGTTAAAAAACCCAGAAATACTTCAATTCTATCATAATTTTTGTAGATTTACGACAATTCATTCTACAACAAAATAGATGCTGTCATCACTGAAGTAGATATTTTGCGAATAATCAGTCTCTTACTCTCGCAAAAGTCTATTATTCTATATGGTATATACGTTGAATTTGATTTTATTGCTTTTCTGTTTCATATGACATTTTTGAGTACTGTGACTTGATGCAAAAGTTTCCAATACCTCTCTTTGAGCTGCCTCATCTGAAATAAGCTCTTTTGTTTTCAGTAACGATTATCAGTGAAATTAATAAAAGAAACATACCTATATTCCAAATAAGTGAAAACTGGGTTTGTTGAATGTTTTTGTCTTGTTGTCATTTTTTAGATCACTTCGTTAATCAAATCTTCAAGATGTTGAATATCTCCAGATATATTATGAATGTTAAACATATTCAGAATACTCGTAGAAATAGCATTCATACACGACATTAGTTATTGATTGCATCAACATTTTTCGAATATAAGAATATGAGAAAATGATATTAGTTTTTATTTTCGAGTCTTCATCCTTCAGGAAGTGTAGGTTTTCTCATTATATGTTCATCATCTATTGATATGTTCATGTTATTTTCATGCAGGTGAATCAAATGATTCTGATCATTTTCTATGTATGAATATTACAAGTGGAATTCGATTAATATTTCGAGTATACTTTGAACGATATTTTTGTGGAAGAGTTACCATTTCTTGAGAAAATTGGCTCAAGTGTACAAAACGGCAAACTGAAAAGTTCACCCCCAGGAGCTATTGCGTGATAAAAACCTTCAAAGAATCCCATTATTCAGTAACTGGTGGCATTTATACATTTTTTTCTTCAAACGAGATGAAATTATGAAAAAAAATATTTGTATACCCACATTTTTCAAATTACATTTTTCATGTAATTTTGTTGTGGGTTTATTCAAGTTATTAAAAACTGAGTTGATACCATCTGGATTATGGTACCATATAACGAATGTATCTTCAATATAACTTGACCATATTTTTTTATCATTCTGATGGGTTCAGATGTATGTTTTTTCGAAATTTTCCATGGACATGTTATTAGGAAACAGTTAAGAACAAGAACGCTAGTGACATTCTGAATTTTTTTCGACAAAAAAATTTTTTGAAGTGTAGAATGAAATTAAATAGTTACTTCACAGGCCTAAGATGTTCGAATTTGTTCTTTGTTTTGAATTTGTGTCGTTTTGAAGTTCAACTCAGTACACCGCAAACTTCACTGTTTACTCTTTCGTTAGAGTTTATGTGGAATGAACTTTCTGAACGTTTTTCCAATTCGAATAAATCTCCAGCGATTCAAATCCAATCGCTACTTTCGCACAGACAGTGCTTTCAGAGCGCCTTGAGGATTTTCCTGTAGTGCTTGTGTTTTGTCCATGAAAAAATAGTCTCACACTTAATCTGGTTGCTATGGTTTGGTTATTTTTTTTATATACTTCTTATTTTGCACTCAAAAATCTAAGTACTTCAAGTCGGAAACTAAGTTTGATGACATATAATTCTATATTAAAATTCGTTTGAAGACCTACACTTATCTCTGACTGTTATGATTCTTTAGAGTTTTTATTATATTGTCAAATTTAGAAATGATTCAACTGAACTCCAACAATTTTTTTTGTAACTACTCATATTTTTTCATATCTTCAGTCAACTAATTCTGAAACATCAATTACACTTTTCATATTCATCCAATTTCAAACCAACTGTTATGCATTCTCTGAACAAAACTACATTGTAACTACACGCGGTATAGTTGCTCGATTACTGTTTGAAAGTTCATGCGATTTTCCTCACAAAGTAATGAACGTGTAGGTTCTGTGAATAATTTTTTTTTTCAATGTATTACAGACAGTAACAGTGAGTAAACATGCGATTTTATTGAGAAATGTTTCATGATATATGGAAATGTAGTTATTGATGAATTTCATTGATTCTGAAAATTGAAATAATTGAATAAATATCAAATTTCAAGAGACATGTGAATCATGAACTCTTGATAATTTGGGTTGTTGCTTATATTCATAAAACACATTTCATGATTCATTTCGCGAAAGTAACAGGACATATGAACATATGTCCTGAAGATCAACATTTTTGAACTGTATGGTTTTCATGGAAAGGGTTTCATTTTGTGAAATTTTAATGTAATTTCAACTCTAGTAATTTTATTAATACTTACTGCAGTTTTTGAGTTGTGTCTGCTTTTTCAAAATTGAAGGTACTGACGTTTGTTTAAGAAAATAGCCAAGTGATTGAAACTTTGCACCAGTCATGTTAAAATTTNGAGATGTACTCACGCCACTGAAACTCTGCTCAAGGACTAAAAATTGTGATTAAAAAAATTTAAAAACCTTTTTCATATCAATTCTTTCGATATTCCGAAAAATAACCCCAATTTTGCTTTTTTTTAAATAAACATCAATAGTCTAATTTGGGATGAAGAAATTTTCTTACATACCGTCTACGAAATATTTTTTTTGCAGATGACTGGTGCGTGCATTTTCGCTCTGTGCTTGTGGTTGAGATTTGAACCTGGCATTCAAGAATGGCTCCAAAAATTGAACGCAGAAGTTTTCTACAGTGGGGTCTACGTCTTGATTTTCGCCGCTCTACTGGTTATGATTGTCTCCTTCCTGGGTTGTATAAGTGCCCTTCAAGAAGCTGCATTCACCATATTCATTGTAAGTAAAACGCTGATTTCACTCTTAGACGAGATGTCTTTTATTCATAATAATTGAAAGCACCAAAATATATAGTTTCATGATTCATTGTAAAAAAAATGAAAAAGTTCACCAAGAGATGCATTTCTGGATCCAGAAGTTTATAAAGTTGAATAATAATATAATTATGTTTTCTCAGGGCACATGACTCAAGAATCCGATGATCTCATAAACATAGAGTGTTCATTGATAACTTATGTCGACGCGGTAATTATTGTGAAGACGTTGGGAGAAGAATGCAATGTCTTTTTGATAGGAGAAATAATAATGTTTATTGATACCTCGATCAGTATTCTTGAATAATTTTTTACTAGTGAAAACAGAGTGTTGTTAGTGATGATGGATGAACGGATTATGAATAGGAATTCATTTTTCAGAATACAAAATAGCAGTGTAACTGATAATTTAAAAAAAATGTTTTTTTAATGTTGATATTTTTGAGCAATAATAAATAATAGTTGATCAATGAAACCGTGTCTGTGCAAGAAAAAATGTCACAGTTGTACATTGAATGTCAACAACAGGAGCCAACCGAATAATTGTGGTTCCAGTTAGAGGACCTAGAATTTCCAGGCTACATCTAACAACATGACCACGTAGGCAGCTATAGCTACCTGTGTGGCATCCGGGTCTAGAGTATAAATTCAGATAGATAATTTACCGATTGTGTATGATACAAATCAAAAATGAAACAATTCGTAGACACAACACTCCAAAAGGGGGGCAAACCGCAAACACGTGTTACTGGCTATTGGCCTCATCAGCGCGGTGCAGCCGAGTGTAAAGATGGGCAACACTTGTTTGCCGAAAGCAGGAAACAACACATACGCACGAAGTCAACAACAGGAGCCAACCGCACATTTATGGTTCCAGTTAGAGGACCTAGAATTTCCAGGCTACATCTAACATGACCACGTAAGCAGCTATAGCTACATGCGTGGCATCCGGGTCTAGAGTATAAATACAGATACAGAGTTTATCGGGTGTGTATGATACAAATCAAAAATGAAACAATTCGTAGACACAACAGTCCATAAAGGGGGGCAAACCGTGGACACGTGTTTATGGCTATTGGCCTCATCAGCGCGGTGCAGCCAAGTGAAAAGATGGGCAACACTTGTTTGCCGAAAGCAGGAAACAACACATACGCACGGAGTCAACAACAGGAGCCAACCGCACATTTGTGGTTCTAGTTAGAGGACCTAGAATTCCCAGGCTACATCTAACATGTAGCCTACGTGGTCAAGGCGTTCATTCACCCTTCAGAGCTTGAAACCAAACCAAACAGTTGTTGGACTACAGTGATGACGGACTACGATATCTAACAGGCCTCCTTACAGGTCACTGTTATCTGAATCATCACATGCAGAGACTTGTACTGCCGGAAGACAGTGCTGGCTCTGTTTGGAAAATGATGAAACAGTAGAGCATATTCTATGTGTCTGGCCCGCTGCAGACCAAATCAGGTTTTCAGAGTATGGTAGAACCACAGTTCTACCATCTGATCTAAAAGATCACTCACCGTATGAACTAATCGGCTGGGTTTATTTGATCGAGTTTAAATAGGTATGAGTCACAATAAACCGTCGCGGGTTGCGGTGGCGAGTCGAATAGGCCCACTCACTTTTGACCTAACCCAACCTAACCCTACTATTAAAAAAAACAGCATTCGAAAACTTTATTTGCATCACCAAACCTCGCAAAATAATGTTCAACTTTCGAAAGAAACGCTTCCTCAAAATCGATAATTGCCGACAAAATAGGTAATTTCAGAGTGATAAAACGAATCTTCAGACTCTCTTACTCCTTGAATTGTTTTCAAATTCAGTTTGATTGCTAGGATGCCTTCTTATAAACGGAAAATTATTCTCGATTTTACTTGAGTTTCCAGACTAATTTAAATTTTGAGGAATACTTCTGTCAGGAAGAAATTAATTTCAACCGAATAAGTCATGGCGTGTTTAAAAAGTTACATTTTGTGATGCCAAACAACTTTTTCAGAATTGTTTTTCAAATAATTTGTTCAAAAAAGATATCGTTTGATTATATACGTATTGGAAATATGTAAAATTCGAAAAGTAACAAATGATAGTGATGAATTTTCTTGTTATTGTTGGTCTAATTTGATAGGCAGAATTGTGAATGTTGGTGTTTGATTAAGAAAATGATAAAGACTGTGCTTCAAAAATGAATCTCGTTCAGCGACACAAGACTTCTCTGGTGTATGATAGCAAATATGTGAAACATGTTCTTCAAAACGCGTTTTTACGGTTCACTCAGTTGAACCAATATACATTTTTCGCAAGTATTCAGTATACAATACAGATGAGACAGAGCATAGATATAGCATGATGATATTTTTTATTACAGATCGCAAATCATTATGATGAAATATATGAAATACTCGTATTAAAATTGGACACAGCGAATATAAATTCAATGAAAAAAATATACTTTCCAAAATTATCAAAACATTTTTTCGAATTTCAATATTCAGTTCATCAAAATAAACCTCATTTTTCAAATATCGAAAGTATTTACTATTTTCATACTCTCTAGCTGCCTATTGTGAAAACGACATCTTACATTCATGAGAGACTTGGCATAGTGAGAATGTTTGAATTTATGTTTTTCCATATTGCTTCTACGCCTGTGGAATGCAGTGTACACTATCAATTGAAAAATTATACTCAACAGAGAAATTAATATAACTGTAAAAAAGTAAGTTCACATAAATATTCAGATACGACTCAAGCCAGATTTAAATGTACTAAAATGAATAACGCCAAATAATGGATACCGGAGTCCCCCAAAAAAGTGTACTTGGCCCTGTTCTATTCATACTTCATTTGAATGCCATGAATTTTAATAGTGATTGTGGATTCATCAACCTCTTTGCAGATGATACTCTCATTACAGCAAGCGATTCTGATACCCATAATGCTGTAAGAAAAATTAATTTAACTCCTGAAAACGTGTTTTTGAACATAAACAAACTCAAACTCAATACCACTAAAACAAAGTATAAATATAACTTGATTGATATCAACTCCATTAATATTGAGATCTTTAGCGAAACTATTGAAATTGTGGAAGAATACAAATACTTGGGCTTCATCGTTGATAACACTTTGAACTTGAAAAATCACTTCCAGTACATGTACAATAAAATTTCCAAAAAATGTTTTTATTCACTAGAATTAGTAGACAACTAACATTCCAATCTGATTTGACTGTTTATTAAACAATAATTCTACCACACTTTGATTACTGTGCTACTCTAATATCATTACTATCTCTACTTTACAAAAGTTACAAAACACAGGAACGCGCTTGTTATCAAACTGTCACAAATATACTCCTATATTATCACTGAATAATATTCTGAATTGGATGACAGTGAAACATAGATTTTGATATATTTCTATGATATTCAAATTTAAAATACTCAGTGGAAAAGCCCCACATTACTCCGATGAATTCATCACATTTAATCATCAAAGGAGTTGATTACTCGCCCACACGACACTTTCATTTCGAGAAATTTTGAAAGTTAATCATTATCGACCAATTATTGCTCGAAATTCACCCGGTTGCCTGTAATCAATATCGGATTTTTTTGAAATATAACTAGTTTTCTGAAACTGATTATCAAAAGTGATTTAATCCTGCACAAATTATTTTTCAGAAAAAATTGTTGATTAGTTTAATACTAAATTCAACTGAGGAATTCAATTTGAAGTGGAACGCTTCTTTGTTGAAGTTCATAAGGTGGAATGATGAAGATGAGTAGTAATTGATTAAACATTCCCCAAGTAAAAAGCAATATTGAAACTACAGTTTCAGTATCAATCAATTACAAATGGGTGATATACAGTAAGTAACATTAGTTTGGGATGAATCACGAAATATATAAGCAAACATCTGAATTAGGAATCGAATAATTTGTTGAAAATTGAAAGGTGACAATGAGAATTTCAATACCAGCTAGTGTAGAGTAGAACTTTTGTCGCAGTGAAGTGTCATTGATTGCATTGCATGGAATTCAATCAAATATTGGCCAGTTTTATTACATATTTTCCAATAATCCGACAGCTATCTTCTCATCGACTTTATAGTGCATCAAATACTATAATAATCACATTTTGCTCGCCTCTCAAAACCATTAAAATTACATCCACCAAGAACGTGGTCAGATCATTCCATTTCCGACACCACCATAAAATATACAATAAAACATCCATTAAGGTTCATTTGGTGGGTTAAAGCCATCATTTCGAGAATACTGTAACGCGACAAAAGAAATATTATGTAACAACAGTAAAAACGACCTTCATATAGAAACAGACAATGGCACATAAAGTAGAGGCTTTTATTGGATGTTTTGCGCTGACATTTTTCTGGTTTTCCGTATGTGTTGAATACCTTCTAACCTGATACGTTCGCTTTGTGTCCTGGAAAGAGTTAATTGGTTTGTAATAGTCTGTATGCGATGTTTACCACTCAAAGGGATGCATGCAGGTTGGAAAACAGTGTTCCTGGCACGTTTGTGAGTGTATTCGGACCACTTTGCTGAAATGATCACTGAGATCTGAAACAAGTTACAGTATTGGCATAAAGTTGCATGAATGAATGGGTTGAGTTCAAACTGATACGGAAACTGGTTAGGTTGGAAGGCCAAAGTACTAATTGTCAAACTTAGCATTAATGAGTCGATTGATTGAGTAATGGGGAAACTCCATGGAACAATGTGAAAGCGTGAGATAGAAAAAAGTTCAATGAAATGGCGATGCAGGATTTCCAATGGAATTGAGGAGATGGATTTGAAGAAAACAACACTAATGAGCGTAGGTGAAACAGCTACATTTGCATTTATGAGGTGAAAGAAATGTAAAATTTACAGATTAATGAACAATTTTGGGACCACCAGTGACCCAAAATGGTAGCAAGGAAAAATTTGAAGATCTAAAGGTCTCGCAGACTTCCGAAGAGCTGAATCCATTTTTGAGATGTTTCAACCATTGGTGAGATTGGCCTTCACCAGCTCAAAACTTATTTTGTGTTTTGAAATTCTCGTTTCA